TGCTCCCGTAAAGATTTACAGCCTCGGAAACCCTGTACAGGGTCACAATGGGTCGGAACCGACTTAACAGCACTTAACAACAACAACAAATTCTCATAGCATCTTAACTAATAGTTTTTGCTTTTTTGTTTTTTTAACATAAAATCTGTCCTGTTGGAAGCAAAATCTTTCTGAAGCATAGTTTTGATCACAGATTTTCTCAAAAAACTTCAAATGTACTCTTTGCTTATATAATAAGTTCCAAAGCCTTAGCCTGACATGACAGAACTTTAGTGGCTGTTTCATTGTTTCAGTGCTTAACTTTGTTTTCCTTCATGCATTTAAATGAAAGTATTTGGTATTCCTTGTATATACCACATAAATTTCTATTGTAATTGTTGAGAGTGCTCTTTGTATTTCCTATCATGCTCCAAATCCTCTGCCCACTTATGTCTCCACATGCACCAGCCATACACACATATACATACCATGTTCAAACCATGCTCACACTTCTTTCAAAATCAACCTGTCAAGGTGTAACTCAATCGTCACCTTCATGGCTCCTCTGTTTACTTCTCTGGCCAAAAGTAGTTTTTACATAATTCTTATTTCATGTTATATCCTCTGGTTTTTTGGTTCTTTTTTTTTCAGTTTTTATTGAGAGGTTTACATGGGAGAACATCAGCTTTACACTCATCCTATCCTATTTCGTTTCATTGCAATGATTACAATCCTCTCCATGCATCATCAAATAACCCCAAAGGATACACCACACAGGCCCGCTCCCCAGCCACCAGCACACAGCCCAGTGTCCCCAGCCACTCCATCTGTCCATGTCATCATCTCTGTCTCCATCCCTGGCATGACTGCCTCTCTGGGTAGGGTCCCACACTCCGCTCTTCTCACTTGATGGTCACAGGGACCTCCGATCTTGGGCTGCAAAATCAATCACTCTCCTCATTTTGTCAAAAAACATCTACCTCTATATTTCCTACCCTCATAGTCAGTCCTGATGGCAGTTATTCACTATTGTACCACAAGAGTCTTATCCCCATTTCCTTTCACCAGCCTGGTCCCAACAGATTCGAAATCATTCAGTGGTGATTCTATTTCCCCCCACCCCATCTGGAAACTAGGCTCCCTCTTGAAAGCTTGTAAGCCAGTCACTTCTTGCCTTTATTGGCCCCCCCATTTTGGTAGCAAATGTCTATGTTGCCCATCCCTGTCAACCCTGTGTACTGAGGGGGTAGGAGTGATCCTCACTGTAAAGATTTGTTCCCTTTTTTGAGCTACGACATCCATAAGTATAGATAAAGTTCATCAAATTGTAGCAGGTTACTCTTCCCCCCCTCCCCCCGCCCCCCACCACCTCTTTTTCCTTCTTCTAGTCGAGTTCTGATCATCCAGCCATCAAAGCCAGATCAGGTGGGTACTATCTGCAAGTAGCCATGTTCTTGTGTATCTCCCCTTACTTCATATCAGCTGGATGCTTCACTCTCCGCTCTAGTCCTCTGTGGCCATGTAACTGCCTCTGGGCCCAGGCGTCCCTGGGTCTTGCCATATTGCTGGCCATTCAGGTCTCCACCTGGGGTTCACAGAGGTCTATTGAATGTGGTCGGGCTTAGCTCACAACTTCATTGCTGTTTTTTCCCCCTCTTCCCCTTACCAGTAACCAACATGGTCACCAGCCAGACTACATGCCTGCTCATGTATTCCCCTTGAGTCTCAGCCTTGGACTCTGAGGGGTCCTGACTACTTGCCTTGATGGCTCCTGGGTGAACAACTTACTTGTTCTTGTAGTAATCAGTCTGACTGCCATTATTGTTTCGGATTTTTCCTGCCAGTCTTTCTTTCATGAAGTATCTTCTGTTCTTCTAGCCATTCCAAGCTGGTCTACTCGCCCTTTCCAGTGGAAATTTCCTACCTCAGTTGGTTCTGGATGGGGTTCTGGATTCCACCTATGGTCTTGTGCAATGTAAAAGCTCCATAGGAAGCCTCTTTCACTGGGCAACTTCTAGCCCCCTTTAAGGTATTCCAATCAGTTATAGGCTGAAGACAGACAAGCTTTCTATAGTGATGTTTCTGGATATTCCTTCCCCCCTCCTCCCTCCCCCCTACCCCTCAAGTGTCTATTTTACAATGGCAGGCAAGGGAAAACAAGATTCAAAAGACAGCCAAGCATCTTAACATTATTCTCGTCTTTTACCCCTTCAAACCATGCCTCAATCCCTATATCCTGGAGCCCTGTTGTTCCAAGGTTGTGCATACATCATCATTTACCTCTGTCCCATTTAGCCCATGCGAACCTGCCTAACTATTCTCCCATAAGCCTTGTTCTTCATTCCTCTCCCCCTTCTTGTGTATTGCCCCCTGCTCTCCCCCACCCCCAAGCTATCCTGTGTCTATTCCCTATCTTGTGCTCTAGCTTCCCTCTATCTTCTCTCCCCTCCTCTCATCCCATACATCTTGGTGATCAGAAAAAATATATATGGATTTTTCCCCCTTTTAGTGTGGGTTCTTTTTCTTACTCTTTTACAATAATGGTCCTATGCAATATTTGTCCTTTTGTGACTAATTTCAGTCAGCATAATGTCCTCAGGATTCATCCATGTTATGCGGTGGCTTGCAGCTTCCTTGTTGTTCTTCAAGGTAGCATAGTATTCCATTGTGTGTATGTATCACAGTTTGTTTATCCATTCTTCAGTTGATGGGCACTTAGGCTGTCTCCATCTTTTTGCTATTATAAATAACGCTGCTAGTGCTGCTATGAACATTGGTGTGCATATATCTACTCGTGTTATAGCTCGTCTTTCTTGTGGGTAAATACCAAGTAGAGGAATTGCTGAATCATAAGGGATTTCTGTTTCCAACCTTCGGAGGAAGCACCATATTGCTTTCCAGAGTGGTTGGACCATTTTGCAATCCCACCAACAATGTAGGAGGGTCCCAGTCTCTCCATATCCTCACGAGCATCTATTGATCTCTACAATGACCACAAGGTCAGTTTTAACCACAGGGTGGGGGGTCCAAACTCACCAGCTTCTCCTAGGAAACCCTATACAGGGTCGTTCTGAGTTGGAACTGACTCAATGGAACTTAACAAAAAGAACAACAACAAAAGGCAAGTGGATATATAGATACAGGGTACAGAGGAGAGGTTTAATCAGCAAGAAATATATTTTCAAGTTATATAGACAGAATTTCAGTCCTGGCATTGTATGAGTTCACCTAGGATATGAGTGTAGATGGAAAAGAAGTGAGGTTTAAGGATGAACACTGGCACTCCACCTACTAGACGCTGAACTTGAACTAGCAACAGAGACTCAGGAAATGACCGGGGAGGAGTGGTGAAGCGAGGGAAACCAGATAACTGGAGAGCCCTGTCATCAAAGTTAAAAAAAAAAAAAAAAAGTCTAGGAGAAAAAAAAATGAACAGCCGAGTCAAATGCTATTCAGTAAGATGGGTACAGTGAAATAGCCATTGGAGTTAATTTTGTGGAGGTGATTGACTGGTAAACATTCTTTTGGTATGATAATAAAGGCAAAACCCTGATTGGAGTATGTTTAAGAGAAAAAGAAAGATTGCAAACTATGACTATAGACTCTTTCTTTCAAAGAAGTTGCTTTAAAATTAAGGATGAATGGTAGTGGTAGGAGGAGATGCAATCAAGATAATTTTTTTTTTTTTTTTTAAGAGAGGAAAAAGAAAAGCAAGCTGAAGGAAATGATCCGGTAGAAAGAAAACTGGTGTTTCAGAAGATAATTGCTAGAGCAATATCTTTGAATAAAAGGAATATGCATTAGTGCTTGTATAGCAGGATCGTTGATAATTCATTCATACTAGCATAAGATAGAGAATATGTCACAGATATAGGCAGGTACATATATGACAGTGGGAATATGAAGAAGTTAATCAGTTGCTTCAAATTTTACATTTCATCAGCTGAAAGTAAAGATGGGAGAGGAGTTATCAATATTTTAGAAGAAAGAAAATATGAAATTTTGACCTTAGTGTAGTAGAAAATGATCCAGGAAAACACTGGTAACTGGCCTATGAAGCACCCACTTTAATGATCCATATCTAAAATGAGACCAGTTATCATGGTTGAGTGTTGTTTTGCTTTGTTTAATTGCACAGGTACAGATTCAAAGTAAGAGGAAAATTAGAATTAACCAAAATTTGGGCTTTGCTAGTACCTACAGTGAATTAAGATCATGGGAAGAGTTAGGGGTATAAGTAAGGAATGATGATTACAATTAACTATTGATTATAATAACCTTAAGCTTGAGGGAAGAGATGGCATTAGAAGAATGAGTAAGGGAGTAAAAATGTGATAGAATCAAGATCGAGGGGCATACTAGTATTTAAGGATGCTTAAATTTGGGGCATAAGAGCATGTATAAGCTAGAAAAATAGGAAGTGAAGGTTGAGGTTACTAAGGGTAAGATCCAGTGCATGTCCATTGGAGCACTTGACTGAGGTAGAGAGGAAGACAAATCATTTGTGTAAGAAAAGTTCAAGAAACTAAGTGATGAGACTAGTAGAAGCATTGCCCTTATAGAGTCCTTGAGTGGCACAAATTGTTAAGCATTCAACTACTAGTCAAAACGTTGGCAGTTCAGACCCACCCAGAGGCACCTGGGAATATAAGCCTAGTGATCCATTTCCATAAGGTCACAACTTTGAAAATTCTGGAGCAGTTCTACTCAGGGTATGGGGGGTCACTATGAGTCAGAATTGACTATACAGCAACTAAAAACTACCTCATTGATACTGACTGGAATAGTAATGGAAAGAGGGCCAGTGATTCAGGAGATAGAAGCTTCAGGGGCTGGGAGAAGAGAAGTGGTGATGAGGGTTTAGATGCCTTGTTGCTGCTGTTGTTAGTGTTAGGTGCCATTGAGTTGGCACCAACTCATAGTGACCTTATGAGCACAACAGAAGGAAACACTGCCCAATCCTGAGCCAACCTCACTATTGTTGCCACGCTTGAGTCCATCGATGCTGCCATTTGGCCAATCCATCTCGCTGGGGGTCTTCCTCTTTTTCTCTGATCCCCCACCTTACCAAACATGATATCCTTCTCCAGTGACTGGTCCCTTCTGACAATATGTCCAAAGTATGAGAGACAAAGTTTGGCCTTCTTGGCCTCCAAGGAGCACTCTGACTGCACTTCTTCCAAAACGGATCTATTGGTTCTATTGGCAGCCCATGGCACTTTCAGTATTCTCCTCCAACACCAGAACTCAAAAGCACCAATTCTTGTATGGTCTTCCTTGGTCACTGTTCAGCTTTTGCGTGCATATGAGGTTATTGAAAATACCATGACTTGGGTCAGGGACACCTTAGTCCTCAAGCTGGCATATTTGCTCTTCAACACTTTAAAAAGGTCTTGTGCAGCAGATTTGCCTAGTGCAATACATCATCTGATTTGTGGAATATAGATAGCCATTGAAATCTTGGATTTTATTAAATTTATGCAGGGAGAATGTACACAGTGACAGAAGCAGATAGCTGAGCTTCAAGCTTAAATGCAGTCTAAACGAGGAACCTAATAAAAGACTTTATAAAAAGAGCACTGGTGTAGCTCTGTAGGTTAATACATCGGAGTGCAAAGTTGTTTTGAACTGCAAGGTCTGCAGTTCAAGCTCACCAGGTAATCCTCAGAAACCCTATACAGGGTCGCTATGTGTCGGAACTGACTCTACAGTACTTAACAACAAATAAAAACTAATGGAATGGGCATGTTGACAGATAGACAGAAGCTCAAGGAGAAAGAGAGTAATGATAAAATATGAGAGTTGAAGGTAATGGTGGATGAGTAAGTCAAATGATGGCTAGAGAAAGAAGAGAAACCCAAAAATTACTGATAGACTGATGCAAAACTGATCAAGGGATTGGAGATCTCAAGGAGATTGAAAAACAGAAGACAGTGGTGTCACAGAAACCAATCTGCGAAATTAATATTAGAAGTGAGGAGAGTCAACAGTGTCAGATGCTACAAAGTAAGCTAAATACTGAGAGGTATTCCTTGAATTGGACAATTTGGAGGGTTAGATGATTTTAATGACAGTGTTTTCTATACAGTAGGAGAGAAGAGAATTCAATTAGATTATAGTTGATTATGGAGTCCTGGTGTGGCGTTGTAGGATAAACCCTTGACTGCAAGGTTGGTTTGAACCTCAAAGTTGTCAGTTCAAACTCACCAGTATCTCCTTGGAAACCCTATACAAGGTCACTATGCGTTGGAACTAACTCAGTGGCACTTAATAACAACAATAACATCGTGATTTTATGGAGTAAGGAACTTGTACCACTGAGTTGGTGCCAATTTATAGCAACACTCTATAGAGTTTCCAAGGAGCAGCTGGTGTGTTTGACCTGCCGTAGTTGCCGTTAGCAGTCCAGTGCTTATCCTACAATACCACACCAGACAGTAGGCAGTATTACTATTAGTCAAAGAAGATAAGGAGCTATGGTCGCGTAGTGGTTATGAGTCAGGCTGCTAATCTCAAGAGCAGCTGTTCGAAACTACCAGCCATTCCACAGGATGAGGCTTTCTGCTTCCATAGAGATTTACAGCCTTGGAAACCCTATACAGGGTCACTATGAGTTGGAACCAACTCCATGTCACACTACCACCACCACCAGTCAAAGAAGATGGACTATAAAAGGAGGCAGACATATAGTAATGCATTGAGGAAGACATAGTTGAAGAAAAGGTTTTTCAATGGAGGGGACTAACTAGAGGATATCATTATATCCTCAAGGGAAAAAGGCAAGGGAATAAAATGCAGTATAGTTGAGGAGACAGAATTATTATTGAAGAAGAGTTCCTAAGAAGATGGTAAGAGGTTTCAGAATAGGGATAGAAAGATTAGTTGTAGATGGATGGGCAGCTCTTCCACTGACAGTGGAGGGAAAAGAGAGGGATGGGTTTAGATGAATTTGTAAGAGGCAGAGGAAGAATTTAAGGAAAGTGAAGAGATAATTTAAAGGGTTTTTTTGGAGGGGGTTACATTTTAAATTTTTTCAGTGATGTGAAAGATAGGGTTGTTGTTGTTGTTAACTGCTGTCGAGTTGGTTCCGAACCATAGCGATCCTGCATAGGGTTTTCAAGGAGTGACTGGTGAGCTTGAACCACCAACCTTGCAGTTCACACAGCTTTGAAGTCTGGCACATTAACCCACAAAGCCACACCAGAACTCCAAAAGGTAGGGTTGTTGTTGTTGTTGTTGTTAAGTGCCGTCGAGTCGGTTCCGACCCATAGCGACCCTGTACAGGGTTTCCGAGGGTGTAAATCCTTACGGGAGTAGAAAGCCTCATCTTTCTCCCGCGGAGCAGCTGGTAGTTTCGAACCGCTGACCTTAAGGTTCGCAGCCCGATTCGTAACCACTACGCTACCAGAGCTCCTTAAAGGTAGGGTAGGGCACTTTAAAAGAATGTAAAATTGGAATAATATCTGAGTGGAATTCATTTCAGGGCGTTGAACCAGTTCAGTCATGACAAACAAAGTGAATTGGGATTTTTAAAATGTGGGTGGTCCAGAACAATAACTGGAACATAAAATAATTGTGGACAGAAGCATTAGAATGGGAAACTCAGAAGAGGCGTAGTGAACCCTTTGGGAAGCTTATGTGTAAGATTGTGGTTCTATAACTTAATGCGCTGGGCTGCAAAGTCGGTTTGATCCACAAGGTTGACAGTTCAAGCTCACAAGCCACTCTTCTGAAACCCTAAACTGGGCCACTATAGGTCAGAACTGACTCAATGGCACTTAACAACAACAAAAATGGGTGAGATTGGATTATTGGCAGGACTATGGAGTCCTGGTGTAGCACTGTGGGATAATGCACTGGACTATAAGATTGGTTTGAACTTCAAGGTCAGGGATTCAAACTCACCAACCGTTCCTTAGAAACCTTGTATAGGGTTGCTATGAGTCAGAACCAACTTGACAGCACTTAACAATAACAAAAACAATGGAAAATGAGAGACATTAAAAACTGCACAGTTGGCCACCATCTTTAAGGTGGGCATTTCTGTTTCTGACTCTGCTCAGAATCTGCTGAGCAAGAAATTTGGTTGAGTTTCTAGCAGAGCTTCAACCCATAATTGTTCCTGTTCTGGTGATCATTCTGTACATCAAATTTGTAAAATTCAAACCTGTTCTGGTTTCACTATCTCAGCTATGACTGGACAAGGAAGAATCCTTTTCGATTTTTAAAATATTTATGCCTAGGATATACTAGGCACCAAACGACCACCACTCGTCTGTCGTACTGTGGCTGTGATTCTGAAAGCTATGCTACGGGTATTTTAAAAACCTGTCACCCATGATGGACAGGTTTAAGACAAGCTTCCAGACAATGAAGACTAGGAAGAAAGAGTGACAAACTACTTCCAAATATTTAGTCACTGAAAACCTTGTTAATAGCAGAAAAATACTGTCAGATATAGTGCTGGAAAATGAGCCCCTCAAGTTGGAAGGCACTCAAAATGCAATTGGGGAAGAACTGCCTCCTCAAAGTAGAGTTGACCAAGATGATGTGAATAGAGTAAAGCTTGTGGGAGAAAAGCTCATGGGACCTTCATTTGTTGATGGGGCACAACTCAAAATGAAGAGAAACAGCCATAAACATCCATTGAAAATTGAAACATGGAATGTATGAATATGAATCTGGGAAAATTGGAAGTTGTCAAAAATGAAAATGGAATGAATAAACATCGATATCTTAGGCATTAGTGAGCTGAAATGGACTGTATTGGTCATTTTGAATCTGACAATCACATGGTTTACTATTCCTAGAATGAAAAATTGAAGAGGAATGGTGTTGCATTCATCGTCAAAAAGAACATATCCAGATCAGTCATGAGGTACAATGCTGTTTGTGATAGGATAATATCCATGCACCTACAGGGAAGCCCAGTTAATACCACTATTGTTCAAATTTATGCACCAACCACTAAAGCCAGTGAGGATGAAATAGAAGAATTCTACCAACTTCATCAATCTGAAATTGATCAAACATGTAATGAAGAAGTATTGATCATTATTGGTGATTGGAATGCAAAGGTTGAGAGCAAAGAGGAAGGATCAGTGGTTGGAAAATATGGCCTTGGTAATAGAAATGATGCTGGAAAACACATGATAGAATTCTGCAAAACCAATGATCATTTCAAATACCTTCTTTAGACAGCATAACAGACGACTATACACATG